TTCACCAGTGACTCTTACCCCCCCACTGTCACACACACCCCGCCAGGTGGCCCAGGCCAGGCAGCATCCTGGCATTCACCAGTGACTCTTACCCCACCACTGTCAACACACACACATCCCTGGAGGCCCAGGCCAGGTAGCATCGGGGCGTTCACCAGAGTGATTCCCACCCCCTACTGTCCCACCCCGGGCGGGCCTGCAGCCCCAGACCCTGCGGCGCGTGTGATGCCCGGGAGGGGCAGGAACCCGGCGGCGGCCACGTGGGCCCCTTCCGCCCCGCTCCCCACATCCTTTGTTTCCCACCGGCCCAGCTCAGGAAGCGCTTTCTGCGAGTCACCGCGAAGGGGCGGCCCGGGAGCGCAGAGAAGCTATTTCCGTGCAATCGGGGCGGGCGGCAGGCGCGGGAGGGCGTGGAGGTGGAGGCAGCGCAGAAGGCCCAGTGTTTGCTTTTATTTCATCCAACAGAAGGTTCTATTTGTGGAAGCGAACAGACGCTGGGGATTTGAGCTGCGAGGAGGCAGGAAAAGGGAAAAAAAGAAAAAGCCACATCCACGACCACGCACAGGTCTTCCCCGGAACTACCGCGTGGGGGTGAATGACTGATTCGGGAATTCATCACCTTCCCCGGTCCGCCCCTTCCTCGGTTGCAGTCGGGCGTCGGCGGCACCCACGGCTCCAACCGCGGCTCCCGAGGCACCGGGCAGTGGGGTATCCCCGGCGCTAAAGGCGAACCGCGGGGATAGAGGGACCGCGGGTGCGAGAACCGACGCGCGCGCCCTGTCCGGCCCGGGCCTCGCGCGCCCGCCTCGCGCCGCAGCCCATTGTGCTCGGTGTGAATGGGGCGCGCGCACCAATCGGCGGCCTCTTCGCCCCCGGCGCCCCGCCCCGCCCGCCCACTTCCCCGGGACCTTGACGTCACGGGGACGTTTCCTAAGCTGCCTCCTCCGGCTCCCGGCGTGGAGCCGGCACCGTGCCTAGGGCGCGCGCCTCCTCCAGTCCAGCCCAGCCTGGGGGGCGTGTGCGCGCGCCCCAGCTGGCCGGAACGCGCCACCTGCGCCCGAGCCCTGCGCATCCCGCATCCCGGGCCCCGTCCCGTGAGCCGGCCCGGCTCCACCCCCCGGACCTCTCTCCACCCCCAGCTCCGGTGATTGCTCGCCGGGCGGCCGGGCCGGAGTCGTCGCAGCCACCTCATTGCACAACCCGGCTTCCCGAGTGTTTACACAGCCCGGCCTGTGTGTGTATACAGCGTGAGTCACCGGGAGGCGGAGGAGGTGAAGGAAGAGAAGGAGGCGTGCACTGGCCCGGGTCGCTGCGGCGACACACTCACTCACACTCAGTCACTCTCTCCGAGTGCGTCGCGCTCGCTCACACGCCTGGAGCCCGGGAGCGCGCAGGGTCCGGAGCGCCACGGAAAAGTTGCTCCGGCTTTGGCTCCGAGACTTATAGCTTTGGGAAGTGCATTAGCTCTGAGGCTCAACGGATCCGCCCGAATCTTGTCCTCGCCGCTCGGGACTCCGGGAGCGCCAGCCGCCGCTGCCTCTGTCTCCAGGACTGTCGGCAGCCGCGGCAACAATAGCGACAGCCGCCTTCCGCCAGGCGCCTGGAGCCTGTGCCCGTGGGGATCTGGAGACTCGAACTGGCCTCCGGCCCCCGGACGCGTGGCCGGAGAGGTCTCCGCGTGCACCGCGAGTGCCCCGGAGCGACTCCTGCTCTGCCTCCCGTGGAAGCCGAGCCAAGCCGGGACTGCAAACTCCTTTCCGCGGGCTGGGAGCAGTCGCAGCGCCGAGCCCGCGGCGCCTTCCCGCGCGGGTCCCCGGACTCACAAAGCCGGCACCGCTTCGGCCCGGGTCGGGATGCGGGCCGGCCCGGTGCGCTCGGCCATGAGCGGCCCCGCGCAGCCCCGCGGCCGGGTCCTGCTGCTCCCGGCGGCCCGGGGAGCCCCGACCAAGCGCCTGCTGGAGGCGGACGACGTGGCGGCCAAGTGCCCGCGCCTGTCTGAGTACTCGAGCCCCCCGGACTACCTCAGCCCCCCAGGCTCGCCCTGCAGTCCGCAGCCCCTGCCTGCCGCACCGGGGGCCGGCGGGGCCTCGGGGAGCGCGCCGGGGCCCAGCCGCATCGCCGACTACCTGCTGCTGCCCCTGGCCGAGCGCGAGCATGTGTCCCGGGCTCTGTGCATCCACACGGGGCGCGAGCTCCGCTGCAAGGTAGGCGCCCGGGGGCCGGGACCCGCGGGGGGCCGGGGGGCGCACAGGTTCCTTCAACCCTTGGGGAGTTCTAGTGAGACATCTGACACGGTCACCCTTTCGAGAGTGACGGGGTCGTGGAATAAGGGGGTCTCGGTGGCGAAGAGGAAGTGGTGACTTAAGTTGCTTTATCTCGTGTTCCTTTCCTTGGCGCCCAGCTAGCGCGCGGCGGCGTTCCGTATAAGTTGTGGAATGGAAATGGAGTCCTGGGCCTGCTGTTCTCCTTCTCTCATCCCCTGCCTCTTCCCCCGCCCTTGTCCTGGAAGGAGGCCTGCCGTCCTGCGTGCCTCTTGGGATTTGGGGCAGTCCGTAGCTCTACCCGGGATTTTGGGGGCGCCCCTGCTCCGCTACAGTAGGGAAGGGGTGGAGAGGCCGCCTTAGGCACCTGCTGGGGAGTTGGAGGGGACTCCTGCTTGACCCGCGCTGGAACAAAAACACCCCCAGACCCTCCTCACTCTCCCCTAGAGTAGTCTAGGGGGTCTTCGGGGAATAGAGGGGGTAGATCTGCCCGGGGTGGGAATGTTGGTAAGCCCACACTCGCCAATACCCTCGCTGCCATTCGCTTTTATTTCCCGGCCAACGATTTGCATTTGAACATAAGGGGGTCCCCATCCCGGAGCAGGAGCTCCTAGACACAGGGTCCCCACTTTCTTCACCAGGGCGGGTGGACGCGGGGCGTCCTGGCTGCCCGCTGCTGGAGGGCCTGGTGCCCAGCCCTGACCCTGCGCTTCCGAGGTCCCTCGGGTCGGTCCTTCCCCTCTCCCGAATGAGGGGTCACCCCGCAGTTAGAGTCGCTCCGTGTTTTCGGCCGCTCACCTGCCTTGCCCAGTCCCCGAGCTAACTGCTGCCACCTACTGCCCTCGCACCACAAAATTTCACATTCATGATAAGCCTGCTTTAAAGGGGGAGAAGCGTGTGTTCTCACTGGCTGGGCCTCGAGGCCTTGGGGGAAGAGTGTGTGTGTGTGTTTAGGTTTGGAGTGGGACAGAGGAGGGGGCATCAGAGGGATTTTTCTGGCCGGGACCGGAGCAGCCTGGCCTTAGAGGTGGGGTGGGTCTACCGATTGTGCAACTGCTTCCAGTTCCTCTGAGCAGATAATAGCTGGATCCAGATGGTGACAGTCCGTGTGTCACCGTTTCCAATTGAGTCTAGAATATGAGTAACCGGACTAAACCAGAGGCCTTTAAAGAGCCAGCCACCTGGTCAGAGGAGATAGCTCTGGTGTCCTGTGGGGCGGGAGTGGGTAAGGAAGAAACAAAGAAGAAAAAGAAAAAAGAAAAAAAAATCCAGTTGGACCCATTCACAGGCTGCCCATCCCTGCGGGGTGGCGCTCTAACTCAGAGAGGTACATACCTGAGTGAGAGCTGGCCGATTGCTCCCGGGGTCCCAGCCTCCCTCTGCCTCCCAATCATCTGTGCCTCCTGCCTGGTGATAGGTAGAGCAGTACACTGGCCCCATCTAGGCTGCAGTATCACCAGGTGTCCCAGGCTCCCTCTGCCTCCCAGTCATCCATGCCTCCTGCCTGGTGATAGAGTAGCATGCTGTCCCTATCTAGGCTGCAGTGTCACCTGGTGCCCTTGTGCGGAGCATGTTGACTCTGCAGGAGGCACCTGCATTTTGTTCCTGGGGCTGGAGTAGAGGGAGAGAAGGGCTTCTATGAGCCACTTAGCAATGCTCCCAGCCAACAAAGAAGGGTTCTGAGCATGCGCTCCACAGCCCGGGCAGAAGACTCGCCTTTCAAACCGTCCCTGGGGAGAGGGCAACTCTCTGCATGTTTGCTAGGCCTCTGGACTACTTCCAGTGATGTGAGGGGGCAGTGGGGAGTTCCCGTGTGCTGCACATGGTTAACATGCTTGGCTACTAAACGAAAGGGTGGGGGTTCAAATCCATGAAGAGGTGCCATGGAGGAAAGGCTTGGCAACCTATGCCACAAAAATCAGCCCGTGGGGAGCTCTGGTGGCCTCGTGGCAAGAAGCTGCACTGCAATCCCAAAGGCACGTGGTTCGAATCCACCAGATGTGCCGCTGGAGAATCTCCTCTCCTGTGCCAGTCACATCTGATTTGAGGGTATACAACAAGAAAAAAGACATCGGTCTGTGAAAACCTTGTGGAACCCAGTCCTATGATGACGCACATGGGGTTGCCTGATTTGGGGCAGCAATTAGTAGTGTTGGGGTTCACCATGAGTTGGGGTTCCCTTGACAGCAGCTGCTGGCGATGGTAGAGGTAGCTGGACCTGCATAGGCTGGGCTGACAAAGAGGAAGAGTGCGTGAAGGGAGGCTTCCTCAGCCAATCAGAGCCCCCCAGCTTGGGTCACACAGCCCAACCCTGGTGGGGTGCAGCCTCTGCTTCCACAGCCTTCTAAACCCACCCCTCTCTTTGCAGGTGTTCCCCATCAAACACTACCAGGACAAGATCGGGCCTTACATCCAGCTGCCGTCACACAGGAACATCACCGGCATCGTGGAGGTGATCCTTGGGGATACCAAAGCCTACGTTTTCTTCGAGAAGGACTTTGGGGACATGCACTCCTACGTTCGAAGCAGGAAGAGGCTGCAGGAAGAGGAGGCCGCCCGGCTCTTCAAGCAGATCGTCTCTGCCGTCGCCCACTGCCACCAGTCGGCCATCGTGCTGGGGGACCTGAAGCTTAGGAAGTTCGTCTTCTCCACGGAGGACAGGTGAGCGGCTGCTGCAGCTCTGTCTATAGGCTTTCGGAGCCGGGACGAGGGTGCAGGGTGAGCCAGTTGAGGCAGCGTGATGGTTCACGAGCTAACCAAGGGCTGAGTTGTTCTGGATTTAGGCTTTAGAGGTGGAAACACTTTGAGCTTAGTCCATCCTGGGTTCTCGTGATTGTCACCTGGGGACCCTGCGGTGCTTCTGCAAGCTGCCATGCAATGACCGGACGCCCTCCCCACCTCCACTCCCAGGCTCAGGTTCATTCTTCATTGTTGTCATAAGGGCCAATCATGAGGTGTACATGCCAACCTGTCCTTCCCAGCAGCACCTCCTAGAGGGAGCTTCCAAATTTTTGCCTAGACTTTGTGTTGCTTGTGGTGCCTAGAAGCCATTCCAAAGCTAGTTCGATTCGCCTCATTGTATGTGCAAAACTCCACCCTTCTCCTGTATATACTCTGTGTTCTTCGTGGGTCGTAGGCTTGTCCCTGAGGCCTTCTTCACATCCGGTGGTGGCTCTTTAGACATCTCGTTTGACTACATCTTCAGAAAATAGCCACATTGAATAATAAATGGAAATTGGCAGGGCCTGATTGCTAAATATAGATCCTGGCTTACAGCGTAAAGGATCGGATGAGCTGCAGAAGAGAAGAGTGAGACACTTAGGGTTGAGGTTTCCGATGCTTCCGAGAATTCAGGAAGCCACAGCACACAGGCCTTACCTGATTTGAAGCCCTGGACCACATCCTGGTGGACAGATTCCGAGCAATCAAACTGTCGAACTACAGAGGTGGCTGTGAGGCCTTTGTGGGTTCTGCCTGTGCGCCCTGGGCTTACCTTACCTGTGTGCTACTTATTATTTTACCTCGAAATCCAGGTGGTCTGAAGAAGCACTGAGCTGAGTGACCCTACCTGACTTTGGGTCTGACCTTGTGGTATTGATTGGAACACACTGATTAGCAAAGACAAGTGAGCTGTTGTCAGTGAAGGTCCCAGTTCCTGGCACATGCGCCTTTGATACGGTGATGCGTTCTCTGAAACATGCCTTCCACACCTCCTTGCTGGCTTTTGAAATCCACATTGCACAGGCCAATGTCATGGGCATGGAGGTTTGGCAACCCGAGGGTTAAGCAATGGCAGGGCTGACGCTATTCGGGTAACAAGCACAGGTGCAGAGGTTAGGACCACAGCAGCCAATCAGCGGCAGACGGTGTGGGTTGAGTCATGTTTTCCGTTTACAGAACCAATGGGTATTTTACATAACGACAGAGAGGTCACGCTGAGGACACACTGAAGATAGCACATGTATACATGCTACACTCCAGGGAACAGGAAGGCAGGAAGGGGGAAAAAAAAAAGCAAACCCAACCACCAACCTAGACCTTTGAGAGGAAAAGGAATTGACCCGCCAGCACTAAATGTTTGCTTTTAATTTCACAGGGGACTTAACGAGACAGGGCTGTTTTGGAGAGGCAGGGGCATACAGGCTGCCACCGAATGTTAGAAGTTCCCCATGGAGCTTTGAGGACGGTGGGGGTTCCTGGGTGGCTGGCTCTGAATACAGCTTCATAATGATGGGAAATCTTTGTGGATACTGGTTGTCACCTGTACAGGTAGATGAAATACACTCCTGATGTGAGTGTGTGTACCTGGCTAAGATTTTTGAGGACCTTGGTTCCCTCAGATGGACCACTCTCTCCATTTAGGCAAAGCAATCTTTGCGGTTAAACACACCATTAAATGTACTTGACATTCCTTGCAGCTTTCCCATCATGGCTATCACAGTAATCCGCCTGTGTCTAAGTGAACAAAATTGCTGAGAGAGAGAGAGTGTTGTGTGTGTGTGTGTTTCAGTGCCAATGGCCCATGGCCGCCAACAGTGACTTCAGTCTCCATGTGCTGGGGTATAAAGTGCAGTTGTGGGACATCTACTGTTCTTCCTTGATAGCATTTGCAAATGATGTCACCATTTCCCAGACAGCCTCCCTGTTCCACTGTTCCACTGTGTGAGCTTGGCAGTTTGTGTAACACCCTCCACCGCCCCCCTCCACCCCCCATTAGGAGATCTCGGAGGAGCTCAGGCACCAGGGAGTATGCATGGGGCTTTGCACCGTATCCTCAACCCTCGCTTCTTGGTGCCTTCAGATGCAGTTGCAGTTGGCAGTGGTTTGTGAACTGCCAAGCCAGGGTGGTCTTGGGCACTGTGTACTGGACCCCCTGGACTTTGGTGCCAGTGTCTGTGGTACTGCAGCTGGGAACGTTGCTGGACTAGAAGTAACGACTTGATTTCTCTGTTTCTCCAGAACCCAGCTCAGACTGGAAAGCCTCGAAGACACACACATAATCAAGGGGGAAGATGACACCCTTTCAGACAAGCATGGCTGCCCAGCCTACGTGAGCCCCGAGATCCTGAACACAACTGGGACTTACTCTGGAAAGGCGGCGGATGTCTGGAGCTTAGGAGTGATGCTCTACACCCTTCTGGTGGGACGGTACCCCTTCCATGACTCAGACCCCAGTGCCCTCTTCTCCAAAATCCGCCGTGGACAGTTCTGCATCCCCGACCACGTCTCCCCCAAAGCCAGGTGCCTCATCCGCAGCCTCCTGAGACGAGAGCCTTCGGAGAGGCTCACTGCCCCCGAGATCCTACTCCACCCCTGGTTTGTGTCCGCCTTGGAGCCTGGCTACGGTGACTCGGAACTGGGGACTGCAGACCAGATGGTCCCTGAGTACCAGGAGGACAGCGACATTAGTTCCTTCTTCTGCTGATTCCCCAAACCTCAGACACCTCATCATTCTCACACATGGCATTTCCACTTCCGAGGCGGGCGGACCTTCGGCGTGGCACGCGTCAGCCCTGTGACTGCTTCCAGGATGTAGCTGTTGACTCCGCTGTGGCGTCTCTTTGTGTGGTGACAGAGAGTGACTTCATCCGTTCTGAGCAACAGATGCTCTCGGGCGGCCGTGAGAAGCTGTCTCCGTAACGGATCCTGGCAAATAGTCTTTTGTCAGATTCGGGGTTCTGTAGCTTCTCAGGTGGACATCCTACAACATGTGGTCAAGCGAGATCAACTAGAATGTTCTAAAAGACGAGCAAGCCAATCGCACAATGGCATTTGGGGCAACAACCATGTTTTAATGGGGTGATGGACACGCTGGTTTTGGGCCAATCAGCCTGCCAGATCTGAACACTTCTTTGGTAGCTAGACCTGCATCACCGTGTTTCCCTGATTGGAGGGTTGTTTTTGCTTGTTTGTGGTACCGTTCATCCTCTCTTCACACTCACATGTACCTAGGACTCTGCTCCTGTCTGGAGCAGACGTTCAGGAGTGCAGGAGTTTGCCTGGACCTTAACCCCAGGTTCTGCATCATTTCCTGCCAAGGCCTCATATGCACTAATGCCTTCTCCCTGACCTTGAAGCCCCCTTCCGTTCTTTAGCTAGAAAAACCCTTTCCAGCTAACTGTGGGAAAGTGCCACAAGAGGATTTCAGAACTCTTAGCTCAGACAGAGAACCTGTGGGCTTTGGATAATTGAAGCATTTGGAAAGTTAACCTCTGTGGTTCCCCTCAAATACGTCAGCAATCACCTCCTCTTCCTTTTCCCTTCAAGACTATCTCAGGGTGGGCAATTTGCCTAAGAGAAGAACGTTAAGGAGACTCCTAGCCCTTCTTCCAAGAGCAAACGAAAAATGCCTTTGTGCTGCCGAGAAAGTGGATTTTGGACCCAGCTTCCAGAATTACGCTTGAGCCCCCTTTGCAGAGGTGGTCTGCTTGTGGCATTGCTTGTGTGTGCGTTGGGGGTTTGCACAGTGGGGGTGGGGCTGTGCCTTTTTCAGCTGTCCGGCTTATGGATACTTCTGTGTGGATCTGCTTTAGAAGTGAAAAAAAAACCAACCCAATAAGCCCTGAACCTTCGACGTTGGAAGGGATTTTAAAAGGATCTGATCCAACTTCTTTCCTCTGCCCCTCCTAGTGCAGAACCTCCCCGTCCCCTCCAGTTTCTTCACAGGTGGGAAGCCATCCTCTGCTTGAATGCTTCCAGAGATGGGCAACTCACTACTTACGAAAGAGCGCTTCATGGGGAAACTGCAACTTGCATTAAAGAAAAACAAGTACAGATGAAATATCCGTACTCGTTTTGGGCAGAGCTTTAATCAGCTGGTGAAACGGGTAAACGAAACATACTGTATTTTTAAGAAATGGCACAAAACCAGGCAGTCATCTACAAGGGCTATGCCTAGGCAAACTACTAACATGCCTTGTGAGAATGCCATGTATACCTCATGTACTGTGTACTTTGTACAGATATTTTACCTTTTATACCTGTGTCGATATTACATTGTTGTCGTGTTAACTCCAAGGCTTGTTTTGTTGTCTGTGTCTGTCTGAATAACTTGTGCATCTAAAACCACGTGAAAATGTGAATGATTAATGGCAATATGACCGTGACCGGATCGTGGACTTGAGGACAGGGAGGCCCTGGCTTCCGCTGCACTAGTGCTCTCGTGGTTACTCGACTGTTGTATCTGTGATACATTATCCGGCGAGGACTCTGGGCTGGCCGGGGCTGCTGCCGGGAAAGCTAAACACTAGACCCATCCTGTACATGTGTAAATATGGCCATGGAGACGGTCAACCGACCTGTAGAGGAATTTTAATAAATCTGGTTTCGTAAAGAGGCGTCGTAGATTTCCTTGGACTTCTGTCTGCATTTTGCAAATCCATGCTTGTGTTCACTGGGGAGGCAGAGGTCTGGGCACTCAGGATTTGGGAATATAGTTGGAGAAACGAGGGCAGAGAAGAACTCCTTGATGCCATTCAAGCTGGTCAAATAGTTGTGAGGGAGAAGCCATCTTTGTGACATCACCTGAAAAGGTGCCATGGGCTGAAAAGGTGACAAACATTTGAAGAGGACCCAGGATAGTGAACGCTTCGACTTGACAGAATGGAGCTGTTTGGGTGAAGGGACAGGCAATGTATTACAAGGAGATGATCAAAAGTATCTCCTGAGGACAGGGAAGACACACAGATGTACAAGAAATACAATCTGCACTTGGCAACTTTCACCCACTACAATTAAAAACAGGAAGAAATGACAGCAAACATACATAATCCTACAATGTCAGTAATAATTAGACAAAATATGAACAGATAGGAAAAAGTAAGAGACTACAGATGATATTTCTACATACTATAGGTTTTTTGTCGTTTTTCTTTTTTTTTGTTAAAGGGGTTCTGGTTGACTTGTGATTAACACATCTGGCTATGAACCAAAGGTGACCTTGCAGCTTGAACCTACTAAGGTCTCTGGTTAAGAGAAGAGACTACTGTAAGAATTCACAGCCTTAGAAATTCTAAGAGTCTATTCTCTGTCGAATTCAATGAGTTGGAATTGAAACAGCAGTGAGTTTGTTAGGACCCCTGTTTTATCAATAGATAGGTGTATAGATATATTCAGGCAAGGAAAAAATTGATAAAAAGGATAAATGTTTACAAAAGTATACACAGGTGCATCTGGTGAAGCTTCACGAATCACTTCAGAAGTTCTTGGTTCATGTATGCCCTTGAAGGCTGCTTCTGTAACTTGCCTCTTCCCACTGCCCGGCCCCCAATTTAAACCATGGCCAATTAAAGTGTATCCACTGCCCCTCCCAATCTAAACCATGGCCAATTAAAGCATATCCTCTTTTTTTTTTTTTTAATGGGAGAGGAAACTACAGCTATCCTCTTTTGAATCACAAAGGCCAAGAAGGAGAAAGGACTTCAGGTTAGTTAGGTTTTTAGCTCGCTATTAAGGGAACTCTGGCCTGTAGTTGTAGGCAGCTGAACTGTCTACAGGAAGGTGACTGGTTTGAATCCACCAGCTGCTCTGAGCAGGGAGTGTGGGCTATCTCCTGTGCGATTTACAGCCTCTGAAAACCCACTGGAGGGTCAGCTAGGAATTGGCTCTGATTGCATGGCAATGAGTTGACCTCTACTATTAGGTCAAATTTTGTTCTAAATGAGATAAATGAGGATGCAGGTTGGGTTCAGTGTAACAAATAGGCAGAAAGATGCACATGCAAGTGCAGAAAGCCATGACATTGACCTGATCCTGACCTGTGGCCCCATGTGTTATGGGGGTGTGTTTCTATTCTGACTTTAAGACCATTTCTCCTGTGGTCCTGGCGGGTGGGCACGAACTGCCAACCCTTTGGTTAGTTATATATGCCAACCATTTGTGCCACCGAGGGACCTATGTTAGGGAATTTTACTATAATGAACTGGTGTGCATCAGAGAGCTTTACAATGACTAACGATGATAGAAGAAAAATCGATACCTTTGAGCTGTGGTGTTGGAGAAGAGTAATGAATATACCATGGACTGCTAGGAAAACAAACAAGTTTGTTCTAGAAAGGGTGAAAGCAGGCTGTTCCTTGGAGGCAAGGACTCTGAAGCTTCATCTGACATATTTTGGGCATGTTGCAAGGAGGGCCAGTCCTTGGAGAAGAGATGTCATGCTTGGGAGGGTGGAGGGACAGCACAGGAGAGATGAATTGACTCAGTGACTGGGGTAATGGGGTAGATGTGTCAGAGACGATGAGGTTGGCTCAGGATAGAGCAGGGTTCAGGCTGTTGTACATAGGGTCGCTATGAGTTGCAAGTGACTTGACGGCACATAACAATAACAACAAGATCAGGAGCACAGAGCATGGCCAGTAACCCTGCCCAGTCCCTGTGCCTCTTTCAGTCACTACCCACAGTCCTCTGTGGAGGTGACCACCAGGAGACGGAGCTGTACCTGAAATTGTGCATACAGACTAAGCTGTTGTTGAGCACTGCTAAGTCAGAACTGACCCAAGGCTGACCCTCCAGTGGTTGTCAGAGGCAGTAAATCACACAGGAGGAGACTGCCCATCTTTCTCTCCTAGAGCAGCTGGTGAATTAGAACTGTGTACCTTTGGGTTGACAGCACAACTCCTTACTATTGAATTGCCAACACTCCTTATATGGACTGAGAATATGGACTAACTCATATAAGCTGACACAGAGAAATGGACAGAAGTCACAGATGAGTGTGACTGCGCTTTCCCAGGCCTTCGGCTGAGATCATCCCGCAATCAGGCTTATGACACCAAAGAGAGTACAGCTCAGGCTGCCTCGTGACCTAGGAGCCAAGAGATGGGACGAAGACAGCGGCAACATGCAACAACATGCCCAAGTGCCTGGGGTGGGGGTGGGGGGCGCTTAGAAGCAAGGAAGCTGGAAGGTAGGTGGTCGAGTATCATTCCAGGATTAGGATCCTTAAACTCCCAAGTTGCTTGGCAACCTCAGCATACCCCGCAGTCTCCCCATCCTTACGAACCCCGCCGGACTCAAGTCCTTAAAGCTTACACTAACGCTTTGGACTTCACCGAGCTTTTTAATCTAAAGATTTCAAAACCCTTTGCTAGCAATTAAGGTTACAACACTCCTTTGTAGTTGTTAAATGCAGCAAGCAGAAAAAAATATGAGTGAGAATTGGTGGTGATGACATGTGATGTCATGAATCCATGAGTGTTACCTCTTCGAAGGTTGGAGCAAATCTGGGACAGTCACAACCAGTCACATCACAGATGAGAGGAATGAGGTCAGGGGCTAGAGAGCTAAGGACCACCTCACTTCTCTTTTCCTTTGCGTCCTCAACATACCTGTCGGTTTAGTAAATCATTCAAGCAACATCTCAACAAATCTCTTTATTGCTGTCACACTTTCCAGAACCTTCATGCCTTCTCTTTCCCCCCTCCC